GTCAAGAAAGACTTTCTTTTCAATAGAAAATGAATTTTGTTATAATAAGAAAGTATTTCCATTAAGAAATAATACTAATTGTTAAATTATTATGAGACTCCCAATTATCTCTTATTTCTGTGTTAGATGATCAATTGTGACATCTATGAACAGTATAACTTCGCTATTTACATTGTTAACAAAGAATACATCAGGTGCAAATTTTGGCTTTTCTGGTTTGGAATAGTTGAAATAGTAGAATTTCCAAGTCTGAATCTTTCTCACTGATGTTGGCGAGTTTTCTATACCATGTATCTACATACAATACTTATCTGATGAATCAAGGTTTGTGACAGGCACCATTCACCTTGGAGCATCTTACTAATTTTTTCAACTAATCTGGTTTCTGGAATGTTTCCTAATAATGTCCCCACCTGCACATCTTAACATGAAATATGAGGTTTGCCAGGGTTTGGTTCTTAGTGAATTCCTAACAGACTAAACATTTAGTCTTTTCCTTTCCTGTGAGACCATATATTTCCTGCAACTAGCTGGCATCATTCTAGCCAGGGTGGTAACTAATAGTTGTCTGTGTTGTGATATAAGTTCAGGGTTTCGTGTTGAGGGCCCAAGAGAGAAAACTGTGTGAAATACAGCTCTGTGGACCATTCTTACGATTTCTAGATTTTAATATAGGCAAACCCAGTATTTCAATGTAAGTAGTTGCATGTAGTACATAATTCATATCTTTCCTTTTTGAAAATTCCATTTTATTCTAGCCATAACTGTGCATTTCTCGAAGAACTTAAAAGCAGAATGTTTAAGAATGGATGTGATAGTCCCCTCACTATAACTGAGGAAAGGCCATTACTAGTCTGAGTTTAGACCTTCATAATGCTAATATTTACCTTTCTGATAAACTGCTAGAACATGCAGTTTTGTTATCATTAGCAGAGGTTTTCTTCAGATCTTTCAGGACAAAGTTCTTTTTTTGATGATGTTCTTGGGTTTTCAAATAGTGTGACATATTATATGTAAAAACAGCACAATCTTCTGAAGTTGCCAAATTCGTTACATTAATAAACTCCATTTTTTAACTATTAATGGCTTCCCATATAAACAAAATACTCTTACTGTAATCACAGATTGCTAACGTTTGAAACCAAAGGTTATCAACTCATTATTACAGTTGTTTGCTGTTTATTTTAGTCTCCTGCTACTCTGGTACAGGGGAACCCTGACGTGAACATTCCTTATCTGCCAAAATGTATGTATCTTGATCAGATAAGATCTTTTCCTTTAAACTGGATTATGTAATAAGAATTTGTGGCTGAGTGCTAAAAAATAGAGCTCAGTTCTGTTTATGCAGTGGTAAGCGTAAGGAAGAAAAACCCCCTTCCCAGCAGTGGTTTGGCAGGATAGCAGATAGAGGCTTTCTTAGCCAAAGATCAGAATAGGTAAATAGTTTCCATTTGTACAGGTACATACAGATATTATCTTGCAAGACTTGAAAGATATTGACAGGAGACAGATGATGGAATGACTTTCTTCTTGTGCCTGAGCCATGTGGAAAAACTTGCGTTGCTGCTCCGCTGTGCAAATAAATTGGTATCTCAAAACCCGAGTGCCTTAGAAGCACAGAAGTGACTCAAAACAACCCATCAGTGACATCCAAATAGTCATGTTTGTAAGTAAATATAATTCACACATCTAGAATAAACAGAAAATCAGTTATTTTCAGTGTTGGAGGACTGTATCAAAACTGGTTTTAAAAGATACTGAATATAATTTGAAGTGATGCTGTCAGGTTAAACAACTTGGCTCTCCCTGTAGTATGTGTGAATTCAGAATCATTTGAATGGAGTTGCTACCCTGGTGCAAGTAAAATGATAGTCATACACTATCATATATAAACATCAAGCTGAACAGATTTTAAATTCTTGTTGGTTAGGAAGCAGAGTAATTCAGTAACTTCAGTGAAGTTAGTCTAAATTTATACTAACATAACATAATAGGGAGACCCTTGGTGTCTTATCTTACCTAAAGTATGCTGTGCAGCATTTTAAAGTTGCTCAGGAATTAACAGAAATGTCAATCATGCTTTAGCAGAGCCTAAAAATACCTGCTAGTCAAATGGTTTGTCACAGAAATACTGAAAATGTAAAAGGACACACAATTCTGATTTCTGTATTTAGCTGTATGGCTGTTGCTCATAGATGAAGAGTTTATCTTGAAAAGTAACATACCAATTGAAACAAAATACAGTTTATCCCAGAGTCTGTAATAATATTCTTTAACATAGTCACTGTCTAAATAAGGATATAGATTGAAAATTTTCTGTCAGTGATTATTAAGTTTGAATATCATAGATGTCAGTGACCAATGGTGAACTCCTAAATACAGTCCAAACTGTCTCTGAGCAGCCAAAACTGCTGGTAGGTTCTACAAATCTTGGCTGTTCTGAACCTGAGGTGGTACTGAAGGAGTGTGAAATTACTTTAAAAAGTTTTTCATTAGATTCTGTGTCAAAGCTGGTTATTGTCTGCTTGAGCATCTATGCTGTCCACGTACAACACACTTAATGAGAACATAAATGTAATACCTCTCTCATCGTGGAAAACTTGAGATTTCTTGTGTGCTTCTTCTATCGGCATCAGTGAGTCATCCGGTTTCTTTATTTTCTACGAAAGTATGTAATATGGAGATAGTTTGTACTATTCTGCCATGAAATAATACGAATGTTTTCTTGGGTACATTGTTTAAAATACCTATTACAGGTCAGAAGTGGCCATTTTGTCTGCAAAACTTCGTTAGAAAAAGGATTTAATAATATTTATGGCCCTGGTTATGTAGATATGGTAGTGGATACTTTCCTCATTTTCTTTACATAAGTAGATGTGAATTAGTCACTTAAATTGCTTCAATTGTTTCATTGATTGTTTAATATTTGCTTGTGTCCCTTTTTTTGCTTGTGAATGAGAATTACAAAACTCTACCAGATACATATCTGGTACATGCCAAGCTTCTTCAACCACTCCACATGCTTAGCCTAAATTCACAAAGGAAAGAAAATGTTTAAATTTCTGCTTTATGTCTCTGTTCTTCTTCAATGACACTTGAAGTTTTGTTAGTGTACTTTTATCTTCAAAAGTCAAGCAGCTCTCTAAGTGTTCTTACAGCTTCATGTCTACAAAATCGTACTGATAGAAGGGCACTGCCAGAGAGGCTGGGCCTCAGATCTGGTGTGTTATGTGATATTTAAAATTTAATAGGGAATGTCCTGGTTAGTTGCAATATTTTTAGTCCTTGTGCAGGGAATCACCTGTAGGACACTTCACTGCAAGCACCTGTGAAACAGTTGTTCCCTCATTCTTCCGCTTTGGGAAGCGATCTCAGAAGGGGAGCTTTCTGTATCAGCTTTTGGAGCTCGGGTTCCACCTGCCCCCTTGCTCGTGCCGTACCTCACCTGATCTCCTGCTCTCCCTGCTGTGGCATGGCAATGCTCAGCAGCCCGTGGGGCATCCAGAACCCCCGTACCTCCTCCGGTGCCTCTGCCCGCACGCGGCTGTACCCCGAGTGGGGGCCCTGCAGTGCACCAGCACACGCTGCCCGCAGTGGGAAACCCACTGCTGAAATGTCCCCACTTGTGTTCCTGGCCTCTTGCATATATATTTGTCAAAATGCTGGGTTTCAGTCTACTTTACAGTCACTATTAATGTGCTGGTTATTTAAACTTTATTGAGGTAAACATTCTGAGCTGCATACCCTTGGTGCAAATTAGGTTAACTTGAGCTTGACACCTGCGAACGCTTGGAATAGTATATAGTACCCTTGCTTCACTCTCATTAAAACTAATGAATTAAGTTTGTGAACCTATATAGTTAATGTATTTATTTTCAGTCACTGCTGTCTTGATTCTGTATGCATGACAATTAGTTTTAGAATTTGCAGTGTACATCCCCAGGCCATTTTCTCGATATTTATGCAATTAGTTTAATGAACTTTGCTTAGGAGTTGCTATGTGATTAACAGTCATTACCTTCTCGCATTGCCAATTTTACAAATTACCTAGAGATTTCATGTTCCGCAATTAAGTTTTCTTATTCACCGCATAAAGCCAAAACATTTTCGTGGCAAACTCGCCCGGCTAACAAACACTCCAGGCGTGCCGGTTGGGGTTGTACTCTAAGGGCAAGCCGCTGTCATCCTCCCCCGCTGGCAGCAACGGCCGAGCAAGTAGCGTTCGCGGAGTTGTTCCGCGGCTCGCCCGGGTTTGCTGTCGGCACTCGGCTCTGTCATGTCGGCTGGGTTAAACGGTTTAACAGCGAGGGAGGGGATGCGCCGGGTCGGGATCTGCAGCGCGTTCTCGGTACGCCCGGTGCCAGGTGCGCCCCGCGGGTTTCCTGCCCCGGGAAGAAGCGGGGGCTTCCCCGCTGCGGGCCGCCGGCGGCCCCCGGGACCCTGCCCCCTCCCAGGCGGAGGCGGGCCTGCTGCCCCACCGTGGAAACGGGGGGGGGGGGGGTGCCGAACCGGCCGCGTCCTCGGGGGTCAGGCTGGAAACAAGCGCTCGCGGGGGAGGAGGGAGGGAGGGGGGGTGGGGGGGTGGGGTGGGAGCCGGCGGGGCTCGGCGCTGGCGCCGCGGTGCGGGAGAACCCTCCGCCCCGGGCGCGGAGGCGGCGTGGCCGCGGCCCGGCCCGGCCTCCGCCGTTCGGCGGTAACCGCCCGGGGCCGGGCTGCAGCGGGAGCGCGGCTCGCCGCCTCCCCCGCCACCCCCCCCCCCCCCCCCCCCCCCCCGCCCTCCTCCGCCGACGGAGCGAACCACTGCGGCTCGCCGGGGAGGTGAGGCACCTGTCACCCGGCGGCGGCGGCGGGCGGCCCCGCGGCGGGCGGCGGCGGCGGCGGCGGCTCGGGGCGCGTCCCGCGGCGGGGGCGCGGCGGCCGCGCCGTGGCGGAGGGGCGGGCGGCGGGCGGGAGCGCGGCTGCGGCGGGGCGCGGCGGCTTCTCCTCCCCCGCGCGGCCGCCGCGGGTGTGCGCGCGGAGCCGTGTCGGTGCCCCCGCTGCCGTTGCCTGCAATGGCGTTGAGGCGCCGCGGCGGCGGCTGCTGCTGCTGCTGCTGCCGCCTCCTGTCAGGCGGGCGGCGGCAGCGGCCGTTCTCCACAGAGGCGCCGAGCCGCCGCGGGCCGGAGGAGGAGCGGGGGCAGCGCTGAGGCGGGAGGCTGGAGCAGCCCGCCGCGGCTCTCGGCTGGGTAAGGGCGGCGTGTGCGCTCGGCGGGAGAGGCGCCGGGCTCCGCGGGGGGAGCCGCGCTGTCACCGGGCTTTTGTTTCCCGGGGCCCGGCGGCGCGGGGGGGGGGGGCGGCGGGCGGCTGCCCGGGCTCTGCCCCGCCGCAAGGTGCAGCCGCCCCGGGGCCCCGCGGCGCGGCCGCCCGGGGAGGAGCCGCCGCAGGGGCTCCGGCGCCGTCCTCTCGGGTTAAGTTTATTGCCTTCAGCGGGAGCGGCGGGTCTCGCCGGGAGCCGCTGCCGTGTGGCCTTTTTGATCGGCCGTGGCGATCGCGTCCCCGGCTCGGGCAGGGGCGGCGGGGTTCTCCGCCTCGGCACGGGCGCCGGCTGTTGCAGCGCCCAAGATGGGGCGGCCCCGTCGCGGCGGGGCGCGGGCTGGGGAGGAGGCACGGCCGGCGAGGCGGAGGGGTCTGGCTGGCGGCGAGCCCCGGGCGGCCCTGGGCCGGCGTGCGGGGGCCGGGGGCGGCCGCCGGGGCCGGGGAGCCCCGCTGCTCCCGCCCAGCGGCCCCGGCGAGCCCCCCCCCCCCCGGCCGGCGGATGGGAGCGGAGCCGGCCCCTGCCTCCGCTTCTGCAGCTCCTCCTTGAGCACCCCCCGGGCTCTTCCAGGGGCTAAAACCGTTGCCCGTGACAAGGGGCAACTTTCTCTAAGTGCATTTCACTTTCTTTACCGTGTCAACGGAGGTTGTTAACTTCGGGTGCCGTTTTTCTTATTCCCTCGAGCTACTGTTTAATTTGCCTTTCTAAGTGTATTACATTTGATGGTATTTCTACCATTAGGTTTCTCTTGAGAGAGCAAGGGTGTCTTGCAGTGCCTCAGGGAACCACAACCATCACGTTTGCATGAATTACTTTGTAGTTAGATGTAAGTAACTCAGAGTTTTGATTTTGGGATTTATTTTTTTATCAGATTTTTTAGACAAGTTCATTAACACAGAAGTAGTGTTATTTTTCTTTTGACGTTGGCTTTCCTTGGCGTGCATGTTTATGACACGATACGATACTTTCAATGGTAAGATGCAATAATCCATCCTTTCACTATGGGATGATTACAAATAATGCAACCATCAGTTTGAAAAACTTTGTAATGACAAGTTTTCATGTGTCTGTGTATTGTTAGGTTGTTTTGGATTTTTTTTTCTTTTTTTTTTACAACTGTTTTGTAAACGCGTCAACCATAAATGGAAATTGTGGCTTACATTTAAAGAAGTACCTGGTATGATTCAGAAAACCCTCCTTTCTATTGCAGGTTAAATCAGCAGTTGTTCTCGAGGGTCCTCAGTTGCGCTGCTTTGGTAGAATTGACTGTGTGTGTTTAGATACTTGCCTCCAGATCTTCTGTCGAGTATGGCCCTGCTGAAGGGCAGTGCCCCCTGAGAAACACTCCTCAAGCAGACTCTCAGCTGTGACAGACTACTGAGGGCGGTACTGCAGAAACTATGTAAACTGGTTTTGCACTTCTGGAGTAAAGATGATGAAAACGGAGTCTTCAGGAGAAAGATCAACCCTCCGAAGTGCCTCTCCTCACAGGAATGCTTACAGGACTGAGTTCCAGGCACTGAAAAGCACCTTTGACAAACCGAAATCAGATGAAGACCAAAAAGCAAAAGAGGAAGGAGAGGCCTTGCAAAGCAGGGGAAGGAAATATGGCTCAAATGTCAATAGGATTAAGAACTTATTTATGCAGATGGGCATGGAGCCCACTGAAAGTGCTGGAGTTACCCCTAAAAACAGGGGGAAGGGTGGCCCTCCATCACCTCAAAGACGAATTAGGCCCAAAGAATTTGTAGAAAAAGCGGATGGTTCAATTGTAAAATTGGAATCATCTGTCTCAGAAAGGATTAGTAGGTTTGATACTATCCATGATGGTCCTTCCTATTCCAAGTTTACTGAAACTCGGAAGATGTTTGAGCGAAATGCTCATGAAACGGGACATTCCAATCGCTATTCCCCAAAGAAAGAGAAAGTTGTTTCCAGTGAGCTTCCAGATGAGTGGTGCAGCTCTAAGTCTCACAGAGGCAGCACTGATTCACTGGACAGTCTTAGCCCAAGGACTGAGACTGTCTCTCCAACTGTGAGTCAGCTCAGTGCAGTTTTTGAAAACACTGACTCACACAACGTAATCGTTGTAGAAAAGTCAGAAAACAACGAAGAGTACTCTGTAACGGGTCACTATCCGCTGAACCTCTCGTCTACTGTTGCCAATATCTCTTCCCCGGTTTCAAACCTTGAGGGCTTCAGTCCTTTGAAAGATGCCAGCACGTGGTCTCCCCCAGCCAAACAGAGTACAGGCGTGATGTCTGTTGAGAACTCTCAGCAGAGTAGCGTGCCTTCAGCACCAAGACAGAAGACGTCCACAGGCACTTCAGCAGGCTCAAAAACTACTGAAGAAATAAAGAAGACTTCAGAGACATGTGCAGATTCTGTTGAGAGCTCTGCAGCGAGTCAGCGGGATTTGGTCAACGCGCTTGACAGTGAAAGATCTGCGGACAGCTGTCCTAGGAGTAAGTCAAAAACAGAGACAGAAGTTTTGTTGCAACAAAAGGAACAGTCGGAACATGCAGAGGGTATCTTTGATAGACCCGAAGCTGCAGAGTTACCAAGAAATGTAGCTTCAAGTGGTGATTTTGCCACAGATGCTGTTTCAGATGCTACTGAATCCCATTATGATGAGGCAAGTGAAAAAGAAGTGCGTGAAGATGTGAATAATTTTCAGAGTTCCCATGTGTACATGCACTCTGACTACAATGTGTATCGGGTACGATCGAGATATAATTCTGACTGGGGAGAGACAGGTACGGAACAGGATGATCAGGATGACAGTGATGAGAATAACTGTTACGAACCTGATATGGAATATTCTGAAATTAATGGATTGCCAGATGAAGATGAAATCCCAGCCAACAGAAAAATACAGTTTAGCCGTGCTCCAATCAAGGTAAAGTTTCCTATGTTCTTCTTCTGCAGTTTGGTTCATTTTCAAATGCAACTTTATTTGAAGGAGATTTTGACAGCTGATCTTAGCTCTGAAAAGATTGCAGAGGATCTTTTGGTACACATTTTTATTACAGTCAGCCAGCAAGAGTAATCTTAAATTAAGAGGGGAAGCTGAGCTCTGATGAGCTTGTGTCATTTCCTAGACTACTCCATGGCTGACTAAGCCAGTAGAAATTGAGAATGACAGCTGGGTCTGTGAAGTTTGAGAATTTTGACATGCATGTTTTGACTTATATGACTGAACTGTAATCACATGGTGAAATGTAGAAGTGGGTATTGGGTGGCTTTGTGCTGCTTGTATTTCTTTTTCATTTGAAATCGCAGCTTCTTTAGATTGAATGGCTCTTTTTCAGCTCCCATCAGATGTTCTTTAAAGTCCCTGTATTTAAACAGTGTGTCATGAAATACAGTGTGATTCTGTCTCACTAGAAGAGGGCTGTTAATATTCTGTGTCTGAATTAGTAGCAGGTTTTCTAGTAGTATCATCACTTTTTTTAAAACTTCAAAACATTAATAGATGTGTATCTAGTTTATCTCAGTGCTACAAAAAGGCAGAAGTCAGTTGACTGAAATACCTAATGAAGGGTGGGTTTCTCACATGGCTTTTTGGTTTGTTCTTAAGTACTCTGAAATTTCAGCTAAGAATGTTGCTTCAGGTACTTTCAGTTCAGGAAGGAATAACTAGTCATGTTTTGTTGTACCGTCTTTTCATGGCTGAGTCTCAGGATTAAGTATAAAAGTATTTTACTTCCAAGTTGTTCTTTAGTGCATGTGGTCTCAAATGGAAAATTCAAACCCAGTAATTTTTCCAGAAATGGCTCTTGAAACAGCCATATATCGTGGAGTACTTGAAATCTAAACATTTTAAAATGAAAAACATGTAACTGAAATAGACTATATTTTCATTGTATGAGTTTAGCAACAAAAATTACTAAGTCAACGAGCAGAAGTTTCACTATAAAACTTGAAGTAATGTGATTTACAAAATCTGCCTTTACACCATCTGTGGTTTAAGTTAAGATAAGATGCATGTTTGTATTAGGAAATTTTCATCTGAATGAAGCAACCAGATTTTCACATCTGTTTATTGGGGCTGGAGGGAAATGGCCTTGTGTTCTTCATGCTTCGAAAAGACCATTTTTTACACTGAAACAAAATATTGCATGCCAAGATAATGGATTTTTAAATTTTGTTTTGTTAGTATTTTATTCAGGCTTGCGTCATGGACCAAAAATTCTAACAGTGTTTGTGCTTCCTCTAGATTACTCCCATAATTAAACTATCTGTTTTTTCTGCATTTTTTTTGGAGATGAAGCAGAGAAAAGCTTTATTACAAAAGATTATGGAAGTTGCCCCCCCCCACTGCCTTCCTGCTCAGGCTATACTAGGAGACAAGATGATGTTCTCTCTTCTGAAAGATGATGTCTAGATTATGTGCAGAGATTTGCTTTATCGTATTTATTACGGTTCCAGCAGATAAGAATCCATAGGGTGACTCCACTGATTTTATTTTTGAGATGGTCAGATTTTTCTGCTGTTCCTGTTTTGAATGAGCTAACAGTGACATCCTTACTTCAGTATATTGCTGTCATCTGTGTGAATCGTGCTGTCATGCCAAGTGCTGTAAGAGTATTTTTTCAATTATTTAGCTATGAAATTTTTCTTTTCTTCTCAAGTTTTTCATGCTATGTTCACTTTAGATTACATATTATCAAGTAATAATATTGGCCCATCAGGAAAATGCTCTAAAAGTCATTTGTGTGAATAATAAAAGAGTACATTTGTCATGGTTTTAAGCATCAAGCACTCTTAACAAGCTTATCCAAAGCAAAAGAATCATTGCTTTAATTATTTTAGCATCTATATTGTAGATAGGAAGAAAACAGAATAAAAGCTGCATTGAGAGGGAACAGTGTAGGAGGGATTGGGAGGTTTGGGAGATCCCCTGCTTTTTGTCCCGGGTGCCTCCAGTGCCTGCAATCTGTTGGTCGCATGGGGAAACAGACGTGAGACCATGTGGAAGGCTTGCGCTAGGAGAAAGAAGTGCAGCGAAAGTTGTGGAAATTGAAAAGCTGCTTCTCGAGCCTTCCTCCCTTTTTTTCTGCAGCGCTCTTAATTCCCTCGGCGGTGTCGAGCAGCCTAAGCCCCGGCAGGCTGCCAGCGGTGACGGGGCGCTGCCCGGCCACGCCGCCGCGGCAGGGACCCACCCGGGCAAGGGCGGCTGGAGAATCCGCCGGTGGGTGCTCGGGGGCTCCCGGGTCGCCGGGCTCCCGCGCTGCCTCTCTGACAGCACCGCCGCCTCGGCGTGCTGCTCAGAGGTCGTGGGCTGGCTCCGGCGAGCGGTTTCTGCCCAGAGGACATAGGTGTCAGTGAGCAGCACAGAGGGCAAGGGGGACCTGTGTTCTGTCCCCTCACACAGTGCTAGTGGATGAATTTACCTGATCACTCCCTGTACCCGCCCGTTACCTGGGGACGATGCTTGCTAGCTGAATGGACAGCAATTATTTAAGTATTTTTTCTGTTCTAGGCAATTTTGTGTGTCAGTGGGCATAACTGGTTTCACTAATACTTTCCTGAACATCATCTCATATGTAGTGTAACTGAGAAGAAAATGCTAAACAATGCAGGAATATTTTCTGAACTGTTGAAAACTGATTTGTTTTCATTAAAATGAAGCAATATGTACTTAACTACTCTGCTAGATAGTGATGTGAAAAGTCCAAGCCAAACTCTAGATGTTTAGCACTGGTTTCACAGTATTGTACCTCCATTCTCCGACAGGTCAGCTCTGAAATAATTAACAAAATTGGCATTTGAATGTGTAACCTGTGAAATGAGTGGGTAGTTATTGCCATAAAGTTGTTACTTGAAGATCTCAACAGGTTTAGATAAACATCTTTGAACTATTTTCCCAAGGGATTTTTCAGGTAAATGTGTAAGAAGTAAATTAAAAGAGTGGTGAGACTGAAGAGCAAAGAGATTTCAGTTACAACTAGAGGGAATCCTTTCTGTCCTTTTAGGGAAAGTGTTGTGGACTATGAGAACTAATGAAGTACAGACAGAAGGATGAATAAATAAAATCTTACTCATCAAACTGATAAAGATTGAATTTTGTTCATCTCCCAAGCAGGAAAAAGACTCAGTTATTGAGAAACTCTCTATAAAGACTCAAGTCAACAGATGCAGGAAGTCCTACTCTGTTACAGTCTGTAATTTTGCTCTCGCGGATGCCGTGGTCCATGGGCCATTTGCTCTGTGCTAGGATTATAGGGTATGTTTGCTGATCTCGTCTCCGTTGAAAGTCCCTGTAGGAGTAGGTGGATGCCCCGAGGCCACTGCAGGCTTGGAGAGTTTCTAGGAATTTGGATTGTGGCATCTCTGACGTGAGCAGTTGTGTGTGTCTGTGGGAGCCTAAGTCAGCTTGGCGCCGTTCAATAAAAAATAGTCTAAAAGGGCCCAAGAGTTGGTGCTGTTAGTGGCAGCGGGCATGAGTGTGTTGCTAAACAAGGGATGTGTACGTTCATATAGAAGTTGATACGAGTGTTTCTATAGTGGTATAGTGGCCTTTAACATCACTGACCCATTCTTGTGTTGAGGTACTGTGTTTCTGCTCAGCGATAGAACTGAAACTTTCCAAGGCAAGCATAAGAGGTGAAAAAGTTAAGTAAATGTGATGAGGAAAAAAATACTCTGTTGGGATACATTTTTACACACAAAAAAAGCAGAAGCTTGGTGATTTATTGGCCTTTTGTCGCGTTTTGCAGGGTTTCCTGAGGGCTGGGTTATATGTGGCTTCGTAAACATTGCGGACTAATTGAACAAAGTTTGCCAGTGGTGCAAAATTCATTATCTCGTGGCTTACCACATTCTAGCAAATGGAAATTTATTGATTGTCCAAATCATAGTCCTTTTTGAACCATGCTTCCTCTATCCTGGATAGAATTAGGATGGAAGAGTAATGTTCACCTCTTCTCCTCTCTCCAAGTCCAGCATGTCTGATATCTTGATAGCTGATGGCTGCATCTTCAGTTAGTGCCCTGTTTCTGGCACCAGGTACGTGTTAAACTATTTAAAGCTGTTAACAGCAATTGGTGTCTCCTGCTGAGCCTCCTTCTGCTCGGCTGACTTGGCCCTGCCCGACTAAGGGATTGGAGCGGGTTGGGCAGTATGTGACTGTATGGAAGATAATGGGTCACTTATGGTGCAGGGAGGGGTTTTAGCCTAAGCTGCTGCTGCTGTAGTTTTTAGGGTTTCATAAAGCTTCCTCAGGGTGAAGTGGTGGTGAAGGGACCTCTCTGCAGACTTTGAGTTGGGAAAGAGGGTAACACGAACGGAAGGGATATAGCAAATGGCTCTTCCATGCTTCAGGTAATATTATACGCAGGGATTGTGATCTGTAGTGGCCATGCCTCTTATGTTCTTCCTCTCTTTTGTTGTGCAGCATGACTGAATCTTACACCCTACAACAATTCAGTTTTCCAGATTGTGTTTTGTTCAAGTGGTCTTCAGGAATCGGAATTTGTGCTTCTCTCTCTCTTTAAAGTGAGCCTTTGAAGAGATTTTACAAGTGTGGTGACAGTAGTTTAGTGTAAAGTATAAATGACATTTGTATTTAATAGTTGTTTTGAAATTCCTTATGAACTATATGGTGATTTCTCTTATTAAAAATCATCTCAAGGAGCAAGTCTTTCTTTTAGTTATTCCTCGTTTCTCTCACTAAAATGTATTGAGGAATGTAAATGGTGGTGAAAAAAGAATCTGAAACAATCTGACACTAATTACTTTGGAAATTTTTACTCTCTACAATATGATTATTCTTTGTCTGATAAGCATCAAAATAGAGTGTGTTTAGAAACATTTTCAAGTTTTGGGGTTGAAAAAGAATATATTTCTTTACCCGATTCAATATTTAGTATGGTATTTACCTGTTGTTGTTAAAAT